ATCACGCTTCAATCTGTAAACATCTCTGACTTATCTACTTTAAGTAGGACTATGTTTCACTCCTTGCAGAAGACACAATGATAGGCAAGTTACTGCCTCTGCCATGCAGCTGGTCACAAGGTAGTGGAGACATAAGCTAAATAAATACCAGCGATAACACATGTCTTCCAGTAGTTATAACCAAGCATTTCAGAAGAAAAAATCAGATAATTTGGGAGAGCAAGGAATGCACACAATAAATAAATATTTTTTGGGATAAGCTTTCATAGGCTAAATACTAGCCTCTAGACTCTCTTCTTTCCAAGCAAGTAAGATATACAGAGCCATAATGATTAGAAAAATATTTTTATATATTCCTGGTTTGCATGAAATTCACCCAGCGGGAGGTTCCACAGTGTTTTTTTTTGTAAAACCACATTGGTGTCACATGCACACAATTTAATTAAACAAAAAAAGTCAAAATTTGAACTTGGGTTGTGAACAAAGCAAGTTGGAATAACTGTGATCTTACACACATCCTTTCCATTAGAACCCAGTGCCTCCCTTCTTGACCAAATCATTGAATTCCAATGAGAATATCAGCCCAGAAGCAGGCACCAAATTAACTGTGAAGGTTCTGTGTACATTTACACTTTCCCTTGTGTTGTGTCTTGTATAGATCAAGTAGAGTTGGTGGAATAAAGTCCAAACTCATTATCTGTTTCATTTTAGATGATAATATTCCAGTTGCTCCATTGTGAAATGTGAATTTATAAATCAGCCATTTATTGAGATCTTACACAGCAAATTTTGAGAGACTGTGAATTGGTAAAATGAGAATTATTTTGTGATACTCCAAAAAATTATCACCTTAGCAATATTCCACTAAATCCACTAATTCTGTGATGGTCAGTACAGTAGTTATTAGTCATATCTGGTTATCTAAATTTCAATTAATTAAAATGAAGTAGAATGAAAATTAATTTTCTTGGTTGTCTTTTCAGGTGCTCATGAGTCACACAAGGGGTGGCTTCCATGAGGTACTGGGCAGATTTTGAATATTTGCATTGCTGCAGAAAATTATACTGGGCAGGGCTTCCCTTCGGTTCATTTGGGGGCAGAGTCAAAAGGTTTCACTGCTTAAGACATTAAAGAGTAACATATTTCTTGAATTGAAAGAGAATCTTAAGAATTTCTCATTACTTGGGAATTCCTTTTGAAGTCTGAAAATCTCTATCTTTGGTTAAATATGAGCACTAAGCCAAGAAAGTAGGATGTTGATTTTGGTGATAATAACTGAAATATGATGAGACTCTTGGTGACATTAACCAAGTTAAAAAGTCTTACTAAGAATGAGCCGATTCTGTGAGATGTTTTGTGTCTCATGGGAGATTGTTCTCAACATTTTACTATTATTTTTTGCGGGGCACTAGGTATCACTTAATGACCTCACATTTGCCAGTCAGGCGCTTATGCTCCTGAGCTAAATCCCTGGCAGTTCTCAACTTTTTAAAAAACAAGAGTAGATACGCTGAGGTCTGGTGGTCTGCCTGGTAGTTATACATGCCAACACTGACCTTTCCAATCACATCGAAGTCTGGTTAACACATCTGTGAGAAATGTTTTGTATTTGCGGCTGAAAGCTATGGGATATACCTTGAATACAGTGAAATGCCTGTGTTGTGTCACCAACAACTGGTTGAGAGCTTCATCTCGTAACTGTAATTATTTGTTGTAATTATATTAAACTATATGAGAAAATGTTGGTTGAATATTTAGTCAGGGTGTCTTCCAAGGTTGAAAGGACATAGAAGAGCTTCGAAAATCCATACTCCAAGTGAAATGATTGATGCAAGTTTCAATGTTAGATGATGGAAATCAGTTTCACAGGAGAATGATCAATAAGCCAGAATTTTCAAAACAGATTTTGAAATGTAATGCAGTCACGTTCCCATTGATCGCATAGATGGAGCAGCACTCTAGACTCTCTCCACTTCAGAAACGGACCCACGTGAAGCCCACGAGTGGTCAGTAGCTCAGGTAGCATGCGGCCTGCACTGCAGACACTGTGCCTGATTGGACCTGCAGCCTGGCATCTAGTATTAGAATCCCCCTGTGAGCCTCAGGGCTTACCTCGCCTGGTGACCAGGAAGTGGTGAAACATTTTGGACATCACCAGGAATCTCTGTGCTATGCCTGTGCTGTTTCCCTTTTGCTGTAAATCCTCACCTGTAGTTAGCTGTTTCATGTTAGTGACCTATTACATGAAACACGACACATGAATACGCGTCTCGGTGGAACTCACCTGACATGCCAGTTCCAGCGTAGGTTATGGAGTCAGTGGAAGCGCTATTCATGTTATTTTTAGCATTTCATGAAACAGATAAAACTTTATTTTTCAGTGAAGCTGAAAGTGATAATCTTAAGGATTATTGGCTTTTTAAATTTTGGGTTTTTTTTTTTTTCTTCAAATGCCATTCTTAGTATTATTGTGGTGTTATTTGGTGTTAGTATGTGACTAGTTTCATGTTTCCCTATAAACTTACACATTCTGATAATTAGTTTGAAAGTAAAAACCTCTCTATAAAGGGAAAAGCAAAAAGAAAATGTGTAAGTTAGATTTTTGGTGGGGAAATTTCTGGATGAAATTTCTTGAGCAACAACGAAAGAGAATTGAAGGGAAAAAATGGAAATAGAGCTTTTGCAGAAAGGAATAGGACCACGAAGTGGGAGGAGCAGGGAGACACGGGCCACACAGAGGGGGTGAAGAAGGGCAGATGCAACTCCCCGGAATAGGTGGGATCATTGCGTGCTGCAGTCATGTGCCCATAAAACAGATCAGTTAAAAGCGGAGGAAATTGCTTGATTAATCACATGTTTCTAAACTCTTTATGCAGAGTGCATTCATAGTACCTCCAGTGATTACCAGTAACAGTGTGTGTTTCTTTGAACCACTGTGACATTGTGCCAAAGTCTCCCTTTAGAAAACTGTGGTTTGCTTTGCAGGAATATAATTTTGACCCCACCCTAGAGATTACACCCGAACACATTTGCTGGCAAGTGCATGCTCTCTGCCCTTCCCCTCGCGGCCATGGATGGGTCTGCCACAGTCAATAGTCTTGTCCATGTTCATTATTAGGCACTGTGTCAGAAGATGTAGTAGTACATAAAATGAGTGACGGGGAGAGTGCCCATAAAATGGAATAATGTTCAAAGAGAGAGAGAAGGCCTTTTAGGAGTACATGTAGTTTCAACTAAGAATCTCTCCTTTTCCCTAGCAAAGTCCCCTGATTCCAAATGTCATAGGGGAAATGTGAGTAGTATAATTTTTCCTAAGGGTGGATGATTCCCTAGGAGCAAATTGTGTCATGACTTTCAAAGACCCCTACCCTTATTTAGATAAAAAGATTTCATGTGTGCCCTTCTTGGATAACAAGTTCATTCTATTCACTTTCACTTTGCTGCTACTCAGAGAACACTTGTATCCTTTCACACTGAAAATGGGGGCCGGTGTAATCATTTATATGAGAAAAACATGCATTTCTAATGCTGAGGAGCATAGGGGGTCTCTTTGGTTTAGATGTTCCAAAGATAAGAAAGTGCAGCTTACAGAAGATGGAAGACACACAATTGTGCTCATGTGTAAGCAGAAGTCATCGGTTAAGGCCCTGAGGTGCAGCTTAGTGGCATAGTCCTGCCTGGCAAATGCAAGGCCCTGAATACAATCCCCAGTACAAAACAAAACAAAACAAAGCCAAAAGAGAAAAATAATCAGTTAATTGTGGGCTAACTGAAAGCAACAAGTAAAAGGCAATGAAAACTTTTTATATCAACGGAATCGTCAGGAAATCCAGTTAAACTAACCAGAGGCTATCTAGCTGTGCAGAATGAAATCTACCCCAAAATATCTGGCTTGAAAAAGATGCCACCATTCCTACCTCTGCAGATATTCTTGTAGGGCCACTTTGCATAGATTCTGTGCATTCTTTCATGCTTTGCATTGCTAATTTCCTGATAAATGTAGAAAGGGTGTGGTTGTGGTCTTCAGGGACTAAGTCATCATCACCCATTCTCTAGCTGTGGGACAGGATGATACAGAAAGTACCGAGGATTTTCATTTCCTTTGTGAGATTGGGGTTTACTAGAAGTAGGGACAAACATGGACGAGGAGTACCAAAATCAACAAAAATAATGAGAAATCTCCACTGTCCATAAAATTTAATCAAATCCTTTCTCACTCATACTGGATGCATCATTTTCACACCTTGAGAAAGGAATACAAGTTTTCCCTATTATTACAGTTACTTCACTCTGCCTGAGTGGGCAAAGAATGCAATATGAGATGAAGGTCCTTACTGCAAAATCTAGAGGGACATGCTGTCCCTAAGTATATGAATTAGTTACTTTTCTGACACCCAGTATTAAGAAAGGCAAAATGCATTAGCTCACAGTTTGGAGAGTTTTCAGCCCATAATCAGTCGACTCCAAGGCAGAGTGGCACATGGCAGAGGGGCAACAGTTCATGTGGGCATAAAACAGCAAAAGCAACAAGAGAGGAAAGAGACAGAAAAAAGCCTTTCTCTCTCTTATACTATATGCAAGTATCAGCCCTGCAGGGGGTGTAGCACTGACATGTACAATCCCAGCACTAGACAATAAACTTATCACAAGCTCTGAATTCAGCCACTTGCAAAAAGCCCATCATCATGACTGCATGAGGCTTTGGGGGGACATCCAGACCCAAACCATAACATTATGTCAGAAAATTGAGTAACTGTATTCCACTGCTAATTCAATTGTAACTATTAAGAGAAAATATTTTCCCACTGATATTTTGTGTTAAAAGATAAGGTTTATATGTCAAAGAATATTGACCATTGGTATAATCAGTCATACTTCCAACCTGAGCTATCCACTCATTCTGACATAGACTACTAGGTATGAGTGAGGGCCAGGGTTTTACTCCTTCTATTTTTAAAAAAATTTTATTAGGGAAATTGTTTGTTCATTTGTTTTTTATTTTATGTGCCCTAGGCATGAAACAGCTTTGGCCACCAATCCAGGCATCAGCTAGGATGAACAAAGGATTGTCATCTGCTCTGCCCCTGATTGATGTAAGGGCAACACCAGCAATAAGGTGTCTCTGCCCATTGCCAGGGTTCCTAATACATGTTTGTAGTATGTAGTTACATTGCTCACAGGGAGTTGGTGCTTGTACACAACACATTTTAAATCTTTTTATGCCCCTTACCCTTCTCCTTCCCCTCCACTCCCTGTATCTCTTGATCCATTTTCAAGATTACTTTGTTTTCCTGAATGACATGATTTAGCTCAGAGTGTTCCTACTTTGGTGAAACTCAACAAAATGGACTTTCTTTAATGCTCAATTTAAATTTGTGTTAAGGACATCCTAGGGGGTGGAAAGCAGGCAGATTAGGCATGAAGAAGTCAACATGATGGTGCTTTTTAAAGTGTGAATCTCCGCTATTTAGAAGGAATGAAGAGCCTGTGACATGACTCTGTCTGGGGCTTGGTGAGGTAACAGCTGACCCACTGCATCTGGCTGAGCTTGAGGGTGCCTGCGCTCTTCATGACACGCAGTCTTAGGCAGCAGAAATATTGGTAAAAGAATCAATAGTGGCTGAATGGAGCAAAGATCTGGCTCCATTTCTGACCCATAAGCGACACGTCCCACAGCTCTGGGAATGAGCATGGAGCATTTTAAAGACATTTTCTTGCAAGCAAAGGTTGAATTTCACTGTTCCTGAATAATGCAGGCATTCAACTTCTCCCCAAACCGAACTGTGGTTTAGCAAAATGTTGACCATGTGTTCTTAAACTGAATAACTCATCTTTTATCTAGTGTTTCTGCTGTGGTCATGCTGTCACTAGAGTTAAAACTCTGACTCTTTCATGGCTTCTATTTTGGCAGTATCTTAAATATTCTCAGCTACTGCACCTCTGCAGCGACACTCTCGCTCCCGTGCTCTCTGATGTATCTGCAGTGTCTATCCATTGAAAAAGAAACAAAACAAAACAAAACAAAACAAAAAAAACCACATAGCTAACTTCTCTCTCATTGCTCCAGATCTATTACCAAATATAAACTGTCTTTGTGAAAATAATCATGATAAAGCAAAGCCTCCAAAGTTTTGTGCAGCCGTGTTCACTAAAGTGTTTGTTTATGTTTTCATATGCTGAAAGGCATAATTATTTTCATTTTGTTCTCAGAAGAGGTTGTAGCTTATTAGACCTTTTCTATGTTAGCGCTCTGGTATTAGAATAAATTTTGCAGATAATTATATTACTTTCTCACTTTGTTTCTTCCCAAGCCAGCAGCTTTTGTTTTTGTGTTTGTTTTATGTCGGATGATGCTCTTATTAGAATCAATGGCAAATGTGGTTTGTGTACATTTATGTGTCACTCTGTGAACGTGGCCCACTTAGGGAAGAACTGTAACTGTGCATACTGGTGTCCTCCTGGAGCCTTGGGGCACGGATCACCCTCAGCTCATTGCCTGAGGCTACATCATCTGCAGACACTGCGGAGGCAGGGGTGTCCTGTGCCTGCTCTTCTCATAAGCACTTCCCAGCCAACTGCAATAAATTCCATGTTTCTTTAAAATAAATCCAGCAGGTATGACTGCCAGGTGAGCTGCAAGTTGTCACCCCAAAGCACATCTGTCCTGCAGTCTTGTGAGGGTAGGGACAAGGAGAGCCTTGTACTTCCAGCTTCCTACTTGGACAGTTTGGTTTGGAGCTCATCACTATTTTAGAGTCTTGGACTAAGGGAATCCCTCTGTCTCTGCATTTTTGCAAGAGGTGATCTATGCACCTCTCACCTATGATTAATGTTTTGTTAAAAGAGAGAACATATTTGAAATCCAGTGCATGACAGAGACAAGGAGGCTCACATATACTAGGAAGGGTTTCTGTGCTCTGTGGGCCATGAGTCAGACCAAGCATGCAGCTGGGTTCAGGGGTCTGCACCACAAGGATGGGCATCTGACTAGTGGTCGACATTTTTCTCCACACTAATAGAAAGCCAGCAAAAGATTGTTAAATATATTAAAGACTATTGCATTTGAGAGCTCTTTTTTTAGTATAAATTGAAATACTAAAAGAAGCAACTGAAATGGATGGCAGTGTAAGCTTTAGAATCACAGCCTGGAAAATTGAGAGGTGTTTCTGTAACAAACTCTGTAGTCAAAATTTTTTTTTTTAGTTTTAATTTTTATTAGTACCTGTTTGCAATGCATAATGATTACATTCACCCTGGAGAGTTGGTACCTGTACATAACACATCTCAATTATTAATCTACTACATTGTAGTAGTTGTCACTCGCAATATTACTTTTGCAGAATGAAACTCAAAGTTGAGAGAATTCAGAAACTTTGCTAATAACATTGCAGTAGTAACTGGAAGAGGTACAGTTTAAAGCAAATCTGACTGATGCCGAATTCCCACACATTCAACTTTGTACACTGTCCATTGAGGAGTGGAAGCTCTTGTCTTAGCAAATTGTCCAACATGACTGTTCACAGAAATGCGTTTACCCATCTGCATTGGTCAAGGCGTGCCACCGTTACAGTTTTGCAGCCAGCTATGATTTTGTTCTCTACATCTGTTTCTTCTCTCCCCGCTCCCCGTGCTGAGAACTAAACCCCAGTGCTGTGCCCCTGAAGGACACCTACATCCTTCCTACTTTCTATTCTACTTGTTCCAGACAAGGCAAGGGTCCTTTCTTTCCCAGCCAACATGAACCCAAGAACACAAGCGCATTGTAGCTTTTCTTAAGTTGCACATAGGAAATACAGAAGAAGTTAAATGTGCTTTCTCTTGGATGTTCTTGCCTAGCATGAACCTGGCTGGAAGGGCTGTAACCCATGAGTTTCCTGTTTAAGGATGAGTGTCTATGATTAGAGCACTTCAAAAGTAGTTCAGAATAATTATATTGTATATAATATAATTATATCATATTCTAATCAAGGTGTGGCTCTCTGTGATATTCTCCTCTCCTTTATATTCCTTTCTAAAAATACAAACTCCAGATCTCAGTAAAGCACCTTCTCCAAGCTGCATCTCCCTCTTTGTTACATGGAATATAATGCCATATGCATTTGAAGAGGTTTGAAAGTTATCAGTTTAGAAGAACAAAAACTGATCATTGATACTTCAAACTGAAACGCTCACATTAACTTTACTTTCATACAATATTAACCATAGTGTTTGACTTTTACTAACTGAATGAACCATTATTTCCTTTGCACATGCTGAGGAATGGATTTTAATTACGATACAGGATTAAGAATGAAGCAGAGCATCTAAAGTGACAGACATGTTAAATTATATAGAAGAGTGGTTTTTTTCCTCCATGTAAAAACCCAAGCTGTTAGGTAAACAGTACTGTATCTGATCATCAGAATCCTAGGTTCCTTTGATCTTATTGCTTTGCTCTTCCAGTAATCATGGCCCTCTATGTCCACCATCATGAATTCTATGCTGCAGGAAGGAAGAGAAGGGCTCCACCCGAGGGAAAGCTCCAGAACTTTGGGGCTAGCTCTCATCTCCTGAAAGTCAGGTTCTCATGAGGCGGGAAAGGGTGGTCTCTTATGCTGTGTACTCTCAAATCTAACTAAAATCCCTCACCAACATGGGTGAGAGGGGAGACAGTCGTGAACTCAAAAAATGGTATTTTAACTTTTGTGTGAGTTTAGAAACATTTTCATGTGGCACATAAGTAAACACTTGATATTGAGGGAATGTATGTTTGTTGAGAGTATTGATGCATAGAGTGACATGACCCAGGTACTACGACAGGGTGGTCAGAGTTTGTCTTGTCTGAAAACAGAACATGAGACAGAGGTAGTCGAGGAGTAGGTACTTAGGACTGCTAAACTGGCTTAAATATTTGGACAACAACAACTTGGCATACATCCCTTTGACCACTGATGTGGACAGAGTAGTACCTTTGGATATTACACATGCCCAAGATATTTATCAATTTTTGTAATAATGAAAGATTAGGAACAAACTAGAATACTGTCACCAGGAATCTGTGAAGTAAACTGAGACATTTATGTGATGGGAGGGTAGGTCATTGATAATAAGGGAGGGACGTGATCACAGTCTTTATGGATTGGTGTGGAGAGATTGCCACAAAAATTATGAGGAAAAACAAGCAAATAGAAAATAAAACAAAGTACAGATTGTACTGTGTTGGCACCATTTATGTAAAATAGTTATGGGTAGATGTAAGAGGCTTGCATATGCATTTGCATTTTAGATTCTGGGAACTGGTAGGTGGCAACTGGTGGTGAAGAGCACTCTCCCCCATATATTTGTGTGTGAGATTTTAATCTGCTTCTACATCAAAGATAGCTTGGAGATAAAAGAAGTTCTTTGCTAAAATAAGAGTGAAGTAGTATAAGTTTGAACTGATGGTGAAAAGCAAGGACAGAAAACAAAGAAAAATAGCAAATTCCCTTGGAGCACTGCTTTGGGATGTGATAATAGGTATCAAATGGTTGTTTCCTTGTATATTTGAGTACAATATCATTAAATATGTCACTGTCTTATGTCATCATTAGAAATTTTGAGTGTTCTCTTGATAAAAAATGTGTTTTAAACCAATAGATTCTTTTAGGTAAGGCAGGAGATGCCAAATTTTAATGGAAAATATTTAACTAAAGCCTAAACTATGGCAAGAATCAATACATAAAAAGAATCACAGGTGGAAAGTATGCCTCAAAATTGTAAAATAAAAATCAAATATTGCAATATTAAGAAATAAACTTCAAAATGAGAGCATGTAACTGAATCCATGAAAGCAAAATTACAAACTAATGGAAATTGGTTGAAGTTCACTACAAGTCACTAATTTCAACTCTTGAACTGTTTTTTTTTTGTTTGTTTGTTTTTGTTTCATTCCCATTAGCTGTTTGGTAAATCAGCATTTTTGTTTGAGACATTTGTCACAGATCTAGTGCCTGCAAGATTTGTGTAGTGGAATAAATCTTACCTGAAGTCTTTCTTGTATGTGTCCTGTGAAATGGACAATTATTGAAGTGCTTTTTGAACAGGCACACTGACTATGACTTTTCCTGTTTTAATTTCTGTGTGCTTGATATGTGTCCTCAGGCCATAGATGATGATCTGGGT